GCCTCTGCGTGACCGTGCCGAACCCGGCGCTGCTGGGCAGAGGGGGCCCGCCGGGGGCCCGAGGGGAGAGGGAGGAGGCAGCTCTCGTGACGAAAGCGCGCGTCGTACAGCTGCCTCCAGTGCCCCTGGCCTTCCAGCCTTGGCTGGGTGTATCTGCACTTGCAGAAGACTTAACTGCTCTTCGACCCAGTTGCAACAGGTTTTTGCAGTAGGCTGAATTAATAAATGATCCAGGCTATAAATCACCTTATGTTTGGAGGCTTTTTTTTTAAACTTCTCTTTTCACTGATGTGTTTGCATAATCCCAGGAATACGCTTCTGTTAGAGGTCAGAGGGGAGGTAGAACTGTGATACGGGATGGAAAAAAAAAAAGCACTGGAGGTGGGGATCCACCTTGCGCTGGTTTTGCTGGTAGAAAATCTAAGCCTGTAGGTTCTGGTGCTATCTCCAGAACCTAAAGAGTAGCTTGGTCTTTCCCCAAGGCTGTCAGGACTTTAGGATAGATTAAGCTTTTTTGTTCAATATTCCGAAGCGAGATTTTTTTTTGCAAAACTGTTAATCATCCTCACCAGCTTTTTATGAACATTATCTAAAGAAATGCTTATACTGGAAAATGAAAACTCTTATATTCTAGCACAAAGGCAGCTAACAAAGCCCCCCCTAATTTAGACTAACATGAGTATGCCTGAGTGCATAGTTGAGACCACGTGCATCTGACTATGAGTGAACGGGAAAAAATTATAGAACTTCTGCCCTGTACAAAATACTTACTTTATTAAATACCAAAGATTATGGGAAAGAAATGCTGAATGAGTTCTGTTAAAATACCATCTTTGAAAAATGCCTCAGTTCATTAAAGCTTCAATCTCCTCCCTCCTGCCTCCCCCCAGAAACGTTTACCTTGTTCTTTCGTGTTAATAAATGTAAGCCAAATTGAAACAAGAGTTTCATTACTCAAAATAAGTGTAAGGTTGAGGGAACAGATTTGACATTCGTTGCCAAACTCCCGCAGTGCTTCCTGCAGTGAAAGTGAATTCTCAGAAGATAGGAGGCAGGGAGAAAACTTGGAATAAGGCTCTGTTCTCTGGAAATGGAGTTGCACTTTTCATCTGCTTAAAAAATGTTCCGAAAGGACAAGCTGTTTACTGCAATCAAAGGGTCTTATTCAGAGCATAGAACGCCGTGTGTCATTTTGCTTGCCAGATTATTTCTGGGTTTCAGAAATCAACTGTAGTGCAAAAGTTGTAAAAGGCAAATACTGCAGTGCTGTGGAACAGATAGGATACATCAAACTTGAGCAGATCACCTGCTTCCAGAACCTCAGAGACATATCAGAAATTAAATTGAAGAGAGTATTTTTCATTCTTATTCTCTGTGGAGAGGGAGAAAGAAGTGAAGAGTTTGGTGTCTGTTGTAGAGGTGGAAGGGAGCAAGGACTGAACCAGCATAGATTTCACATGCTTCATGTGCTTTCAGAGTCTGGATCTACGGGGAATTACGCTTGTGCTGTTGCTCTGCTTGTGATGTCTGGCTACGAGGTTGCTCAGTACAGAATTGGGAGGTAATAGGCAAAGATGGCTTGTTGCCCAGGATCTCCCACACAAGATTGGCAGCGATTTGCCATTCTAGTTTCTGCAGCCTTGCTGTGGTGTTGGCTGAGAGAAGAGGCCAGGACTGTCTGTGGTGTCCCTGCGGTACTTCGGGAATCTGGATGGTTAGGGTGAGTGAGGTTACTCGCACCTGCAGATGAAGTGCCAATGAGGAGCGAGGAACCAGACTGCTATCTAGGTAAAAGGCCTAAAGGGAAAACCTATTTTTTAAAAGAAAAGAAATCTCAGTGTGTCAGGGTAATGTAGGTAGTGGATTAAAATGAAAAATCCAGCAGGTGAAATGTGATAATACTTCCTCTAGAGAGACATGAATCTGCTTTTCGTTTGTATAACTGAAAAGCAAGCCCCCCCAGAGCCTTCATGAATAGTCTTGCTCTTGCTGGGAATAAGGAAATTCCTTTTCCTACTCTCTTTTCAGAGAGTTTGAAGTAAGCAGAGGTGATACCTAGAACTGGCCTTGGAATGTCAGCTGAAAGGAAATTTCACACGCAGCATGCCTTTCTTGACTGGGATTAACACTTTGTGCCAACCTTCTTCCTGGAGTAATCAATGACAAAAAAAGCATTTAAAATCAGTGGTTGCAAAAGATTAAGCTTTGGGTCATCCAGAAATGAAGAAAAAGCCCTTTAAACCAAAAAAGGAGAGAGTGTGACAAGAAGATGGGAGGTCAGGTGGTTTTCTGTTTGTTTGCTCCTGTTGTTTTCTGTATTATTTTTTAACTTGAATAAGGCACAACCAAGGAAGAACCATGCTCTGTCTGCCTTTCTGTGGCTTGATACTTTAATCTCTAAGTGGTCCTAAGAGATTTGAGCTCCATATATTTCCCAAACACCATGGCCCTTTGAGATTGTTAGTAGAGCAGTGGGTGGCAGAGCAGTGGGAGCATATCTGGCCTGGCAGTTGTTGCCTTCTTGTTTGAGTGTTATTCCCTAGAGTGGGGAGAGCGACTGCTGATAGGGCAGAGAACAAGGGAGAGGGGCCTCTGCATCTTCTCAGTGCTATTGGCTGGTTTTGTTTTCTGGCATCCATGAGACTTGAGCTTTGGAGACTAGCCATTGAACATCCTGTTTTCACTGAATTTGTCTCTGTTCTTCCCAGTCTCTTCTCCTTTCTTCTGGTTGCAGAGTTGCTGCAATAACACCAAGGTAAGATATGAAACGGCACTTCTTGGCTCATTTCTCACATGGGGATTGTTATGTTTGAGCAAGAGGTATCTGGCATTCTAAGCAGATAAAGGCAAGTTTAGCTGGGATCTCAAAAATCACTATGCTCTTTAGAGAGCTAGGCAACAGAGGCCAATAACGTAACTCCAGATTTGTCGAGTGCTGAATTAAACTAACCTGCTTAGAGTCATGCTGCGTGGATTCCTGTGCAGTAAGTACTAAGCAATGCCTGCAGACTTTTAGTCCTTATGCTCAATCCTGCTCTTGATGAAGTTAGTGGAAGTTTTAGGGTGAAGCTGCATCAAGCCTCACGTATGTTGGGATTGTCAAGGTCAGCAGATGGGCAGTAATTCTCTTGTGCCATGAGTGTGTGACCAAGCTGCAGCTTCCAGCCTTTTCTGATAAAGCTGAATGAGGTGCTGTATGTAGTTTTTTACTTCTGGGAGTCTCCCCTGGTGCAGAGCTTGTT